AAATTATTGTGAGATGCACTAATCGGGTGATCAAATTCATGATCTGTATCATACACCTTGTTCAAAACATCATCAAATATATATGGTCAAATTTTCACATAGTTTGGAGTTTTATAGAATATGAATCATACTATTTTAATATATTGATTTTCCAGACAGTTTAATAGCCATCCATTTTGCACATAGCTAAAATAATAATTAGAAATTTTAAAATGATATATTTTTTCTACATATAGATCATGATGAGTGCAAATCAGGATGGTGATGCTGATCATCGTTCCGGGTAGACTATTGGGCCACCTCACAATAAGAATCTCATCTCACCATCTCATTTATCAATTTTCTACACACACACACACATACATAATATGTATACACACACGCGCGAAACTGATATGAGAAGACTAGATATTAGTGGGGAAAAAAGCTATAGTTCATATGACACAAAAGAGTCCATTAATATGATTATTTCATCTGAAAAGCTAAGATTAGATCTCTTTATTATCAAAATTAATTGCAAATCCATTAATCTAAGGATTAAAGCTAATACAATTGTTTGACCATCATATATTCGAATATTTCAGATACAATTATGGATGTTCAACTACATTTCCGTATCCGGAACCATATCCATATCCTATCGATTATAATTTCCAGTAATCATATTCATGTCCTATCAGATACGGATATTTCCTCCGATACGGATATTTTTGCACACCCCTAACCGGAAGTCACTAAAAGCACCAGATAAGGGAAATGATAAGATTATAATCAATGTTTCAAGCAGGGCTACATGTAGGCCTATGAGAACTTGGTGGAAAGCAATTCAGAAGCTTATGATACTGGTTAGCGTAACGAAAGAGAAAACCCTTAACATAACTGGATCGAAGAATATGATTCACATAGTCGACCCAAAAGTTTGATCCCAAATATTTAAGATGGAGGCTATCTTATTGTAGCTATCGTATCTGTATGACCATACAAAACCGTGCTTTCATTTTCTTGGGGTGGTTAGCAAAAATGACTGTAAATCTTGCTGACTCATCTGAATGTTAAGTTAGCGTTTCTTTTAAAAATGCAACTGGGAGAATATGGGGCGTATAGTACTAACTAATATTGCAAGAAAACTGCCTCTATCAAGTCTTCTAGTTACTCTCTTTATTGTTGTTTCTACGAACAGTACTGTTAGTTATCCATGCAATGGTTTTGAGATGTCAGGTTACATTTTGTGAGCTAGGATTCTTTTTTATCCAATTTCTGTTATTCTTCAGCTCAACAGCAAAGATAAGAAGTGAAGTGCTCTCTCCTTTTCGTTCTGTCCGCATGTTCTTTTATCTCGCTTTCATCGCAAGTGCTGGTCTCGGAGGCTTAATAACAACCCCAAGGCTAATATCAGCTTTAGCAAATTCATCAAGATCATCAGAACTACCTGAGGTTTTAAATAGTCTCGGTATAGATCTCGGAGCAGTTCTAATATTTGCCTTTCTCTACTCAAGGGAAAATAATGCCAAAAACGCACAAGTGTCAAGGCTATTGAGAGAAGAAAGACTTTCAAAACTTAAGCTGAGGTTAGATGAGAATAAGATCATTTCTGTTAATTCTTTGAGAGGAATTGCTCGGTTGGTTATTCTTGCGGGTCCTGCTTCTTTTATTGAAGAGTCTTTTAATCGTAGCAAACCTTTCACTGAAGGACTCATTGAACGTGGGATATTGGTGGTTCCTTTTGCGACAGATGGGGAAAATTCTGTTTTTGAATTTGAAGAGAGTGATGAAGAGGGCGTTATTGCTGAAAGAAAAAAGAGGCTATGGCAGCTTACCCCTATTTATACTTCTGAATGGGCCAAGTAAGAGAAAATTTAAAGTGACAGTACTCTTAGTTTCATCTTATTGTTAATGTCATTTTCGTTTGTTTAATTTTCAGCTGGATAGATGAACAGAAGAAATTGGCTAAAGTCTCCTCAGATTCTCCAGTGTAAGTATTGCTCAGTGCTGTTATATTTTACTTGAGTTTCTTCATGGGTCACTTGCGGATAGACCCCCTGTATTTTTACCTCTGCGAGTAAAAGGAGTCCCAAAAAAATTCACTCAGGCGATCTATCCGCAACAATTGAAATACAGGGGGTCCATGATCCATCAGCAGTTAACCCTTTCTTCGTTGTTAGGGTGAAGGGAAAAGTTCATAAGCATTGATGACTTCATGAAGATTTGAGCTGAAACATCAATATCAAAACTGACAAATAAACCAGACTAACTGGTGTTGTTTTCTGAAGGTACCTTTCGTTACGATTGGATGGTCGCGTTCGTGGCAGTGGGGTTGGTTATCCTCCATGGAATGCTTTTGTTGCACAGTTACCGCCAGTAAAGGGTATTTGGTCTGGGCTCCTCGATGGCATGGATGGACGTGTACTATAACATTCGTTTTATTAATTTATAGGTAAGTAAGTTTTCGTTTAAATTTCATTACACATATATATTGCTGTAGATGCATTTTCTCTAGTCTTTGGTATCTGCACGCAGTAAATGAGATCAATTCGAGTCGTCGTGGAAATTGTACAAATATGTACTGAGCCATTGCTGGAAATACCTCAGTGGACTCATGCCTGAAATAAATTCAAAACCTAAAGCATTAATCCTTGTTTTTCAAACGCCCATATTTTAGCGAATTTGTTGCCTGACCTTATTTACTGTAAACCTAATGGCGACTTCATTATTCCTCGAGTCATAAATGCGTCGACGAAAATAATTGGTGATGTTACCTTTCACACTGCAGGTGTGACACGGGACGACGCCAACCAAAACTGAAGGGCGTCTCGGAGTTTTCCCCAGCGACGCACCCTTCACTGTGTGACCGTATATGTAAACACTGTCAAAGATACGCGAAACGTTATACGCGATGAATAGTGTGTTTCAAAATGGAGGTTGGAGATCATTAACATTGAACAATTTTATTTTGCACGTTTGTTGTCTTGAAAGAGTGGGTTTTCTTTGAAAATACATGGCATGTATGTGCATCCCTTTAAACTCAAGACCGTCGCGTACGTTCTAATATATTTGGGATTGCGGAATGAGCGATACTCAAATTGAAACATACATATGAAACAAGCCTTACAAAAAAATAAAAAAAGAAAAATTCAAGAGTGGTTGGCAAATATATAATAATAAACAACATCTTTGTAAAATAAGTTTCATTTATGAAAAGAACAAGTTACAAAAGCCTCTGTTTTCATTCCTTGTAGCAGAGAAGTTTCAACCAAGTATTTCCTGCAGATATTGCAGCGTAGGAGGAATTAAAATTCTTAGGGAAAGCATGATTCATTGTTCCCTTTTTATATATTATATATATATATATATATAGTTAAGGGAAAATTGCTTCTAGGTCCTAAATTTAAACTTTCAATGTGCCCCGACCCCTCCTATTTTTTTAATGTGTTTTAGCCTTTTTTTTTTGAAAAAAATGTGCCCAAGGTCCCTCCATCATAATTCCAACTCATGCCAGCAGTTGATTAGACATGCCAGCTCATGATTAGACATGTCAGCTGGCTTAAATCCTAAATTTGCCATCCTTTTTCTTATGCTAGCGGATGTTAACTCTTACAGCTAACATGTTAACTCTTACAGATAACATTTTAACTCTTACAGATAACATGTTAACTCTTATAACTAACATGTTAACTCTTACAACTAACATGTTAACTCTTACTAATATGCCCAAGCGAATTGATTAGACATGCCAGCTCATGATTAGACATGTCAGCTGGCTTAAATCCTAAATTTGCCATCCTTTTTCTTATGCTAGCGGATGTTAACTCTTACAGCTAACATGTTAACTCTTACAGATAACATTTTAACTCTTACAGATAACATGTTAACTCTTATAACTAACATGTTAACTCTTACAACTAACATGTTAACTCTTACTAATATGCCCAAGCGAA